TTCGTAACCCTGGAACCTATCTTCGATCTTTACATGGTTTGCTATAGAAAATCTTAATTCACTTTGTGTCGTTTCAATTTGCGTCGTGTTTTTTTGGAACGTATCCACGACGCAAAGTGAGGTATTGGTGTACTAAGTTTCAGTCTTTCTAATGTTAAGCATTTATCAGAAACAGAAGTGTGTCGACATTTGAATATTACGCATGACTCGCAAGAATACATCGATTTCGCATAAAAATCCGCGGATTAATGATCATCATCGACACAATAGGATAATTGGTCCGCACCTAGATTACGCGAAGTGCTGATCAAATTTTGCCACTCTGGAATAATATTTTCTACCACCGAATCTGGACTTCGGGACGCAATTTAAAAATTGATTGCTGCCATCCATTATGTTCTTGTTTGAGAGCGGAACGGTGAACGGAACCAATAATTAAGGCCACGAAACGTACGCTCGCCGAGGGTCTATCCTTGCTCTAGGTATCCATTCGCGGCATTATCTCTGCCCTCTGCCTTTTGTTTTCACCTTTTTTCGTTACCTGCTCGCCTTGTCGCATCCGTGCGAGCCGAGCATCAAAGCTCGTTCTCTGCTCGTCATTTCCCTCGACGCCGACGTCGGATAGGCGTCTGATCGTGGTACGCGATAAACGAGGGACATTAATTAATTGGCAGCTCGCGTCGTGTAAAAACGCGTGGGATAAGAGAAAAAAAAAAAAAAGGGAAGCGAGCGAAAGGAAAAACGGAGCGAATGCAACGGGGGGGCAAAAACGAACCGACGAGACGGAGGTCCATCGCTGCTGCGCTGAGATACGCCCTGGGCGTGAGCCGAGTAATTAAATACAAAGTGCACTCATTTGTGAGCTCGGTGGCAAATAACATGTTACCCGACAACTAGTGGTAATTTATGAGAGATCCGTATAACGCTGCCTGTCTGACCCTCCACGAAGTTCGCTCCTTCGGATATATCTATATAGAAAATGTACACCCTCCCGATGAATATGCATTCGAAAAATAGAGACGTGAGATTTCGCGGACAGACAAAATGATCAGAAATTCCTGGTTCCCGAGATCGAATAATTATCATTCATTCCACCTCTTCTCCTCCCATTTTCCCTCTCGTTCTCTAAACTTCGCCGTCTTATTAATAATTCATCGAGCTCGGTAATACTTCGGCTTCGACCTCGTCGAGACCGTTGATCGATACGTTCACGAAAATTAAAATCACCAGTTCGCCCGTTTTCCAAACAAATAAATCGATTTTTTAAATTTGCTTTTTCCAGTTGATAAAAGATTCAATTACCCGAGTCGGTCCGTGATTGCGTCGAATTTTCGTAAATTAGAAATGAATGCAACTCCCTTCGACCTCGCATCGTTTTTAGAATATTTCTCAAAACTTCCAAAACATTTCTCATGCAATCGTACTTTTTTTTTAATTATGATAGAACCTCCCTTATTAATATAATTACTTTTTAAATTATGAGCACATGCTATGTGAATATAAATG